ATTATTTATTTGTTTTGGCTCTCCACGACGGATGAAAGGTGAAAGTTCAAGCGTTGGATAAAGGAACCAGTCAGCCCAGTGAGCCCAGTCAGCCCAGAACTTTCACCATATTCATTGAAGATGATGTAGATGAATCTCCTCCTCTATTCGAAAACTTGGAAGAAGAATATGGAATCGATGAAAACACAAACGGATATGTGGACATCCCCGAAGCTAAAGATCCAGATGGGGAAGATATCAAAGTCACCTATTTCATCCATGGTCTTACTTTTTTTTCTCTTATTTCTTTTCCTGCCATTTACGCACTTATAAAAATGATCTACAGTTTTAAAAAAGCAAACGTGCTAATTTTTTCAAGTGAATGCATCCGATAGTGATATTGAAATGAAGAAATAATGCCAAGACGATGTCTTCGCCTGCTGCCCTCGCATTTATTAAATTTATGGTCGAACCTTTGAATTCGTCCTTCATATAATGAGTAATTGACCTTTTTACAAAATTGACCTTTTTCGGCACCAAAAAATGGTTCATTTACAGATAATTTGTTCGTTGTTTTCCTCGAAAACCGCTGATCCCTAACCTGACATACTTTTCATCAGCTTCTGCTACTCTGCCGGCAGGAGAACGATGGGTTATAGGGACACCTTAAGCACTATGCGAAACCTAAGCACCTAAGCTACAAATAATTTTTCGCTGAAGGTATCCTCTAGCGTAAGGAAAAATCCACTACCGATTCGTTTCGCTGATAATTATTATGAAATAAGTGGTGTGAGTTTGAACTTTTAATTTTTGCTTGTCCGTATAACCCAAGGATCGTAAAAACCTGGGCGGGGGATGAGGCAGAAGAGTGTTTAAAACTTGAAGGACAAGAAAATGCACCGGACATGCCCGCTGATGCGTTCGTCTCACCTGTGCAGCAAACGAAAGTCTGTGTGCCATCCAGAACGGCAAATGGTGTAAGCTTCACTGGCACAGACGAACGCATCAGCGGGTATGTGTTGTGCATTTTCTTATCCTTCAAGTTTTAAGCAGGTTAATCACGTGATACATACTGTCAATATCGTTAAAAATTTGCAAAAGCTTTATTTCACCTATCCACATGCGGGTTTATGAAATATTGGGCCGATCAGAATGAAATTTACTATCATTCCTATAAAAAAAACGAATTGGCACAGTTTTTTTCGAGCTTGTCTGGCACTCTTTTTTACATATTGAGTTTGAAATAGCATAGAACGTGGTGCAATAAGTCAGCTTTTTTCAAATTTGGCACATGCCTTCTTTCCTCTACCTATATGCAGTGTCTAAAATATTACGTTGATCTGATAAGATTTGCTGTCACTAATAGCGAAAATGCTTTGGAGCAGTTTTTATGTGAAGCACCATGTATATATTTCTTTTAGTGAAACGGATACACTTGGAAAGCTGAAACTTGGCAAGGACGTGGCTACTGATATACTAAGCTCATCAAAATTTTTAAGTTTCGTTATTCAAAGCTATTGGTAACTTAAAATGTCAACAATTCGGAAATGAACTTCGTAAAAAAAATGAATTTATTGCTGTCGTTCTTCAGCATACCTACATATGTAGAAAGATGTAGAAAACTATGATCATGGTCAAAAACACGATAATACGTGTATGTTAAGCCCAGTTAATACTGGAACTTCTCCCTCACAAATTGTATTGCAAGAGCCTCCCATTACATGATATTCTACACCAGCGAGTTTGGTTGGACAACATTCAATGTGCAGTGCTAACCATTTTTGGCTTGGCCTTGCCTAGAGGAGGCAAGAAGCTCCAACTTGTCGCAGTCATAAGAGCGGACTCGTGATGAAGCCAAAAACAGCTGGCCTTGGTTGAACACTGGCTTCGGTAGGAAAATTCCTATTCGATCGAAGGTTTCACCCTACCCCTCATTGGGTAGGGTGAAAGCTCATGGCGAAAGATTTCCGAATCAGGAACAGGCAGCGCTTCAGAGTGAAGTGCAGCTTCGTGTCGGAAGGAGCCACGTCAGTTCTTGGTATGAAGACTCTTTCCCCCTTCACACTTCCAGTTAAGACTTCGGTATCGATGATGTTCATAATGCGAAGGACGATCAAACCCGTTCGTTGCATCGCCCTTGTTTTGCGTTGAGGTTGCGAAGGAGCATGATGAAGGCACCAGACTTGAGTTTCAACTTATGAGGTGGCATTCCAGATGGGACCAGGCTGTTGAGAAACTCCACTGGATAATTTTTTGCTCCTCGGAATCACATGGCGACAGAGTCGATACTAATCAGTCGATACTAATCGATACTAATCATCAGTCTTGGTCGAGCGTTCGTAGCGTGAGGACGTGTTGGAGGATGCTCTCGAGGTTCTGGCAGCTAAGTCGTGAGTTAGTTGTTACCTGGCTTGAAGCCCCCCCCCCCCCCCCCCCCCCCCCCCCCCCCTCAATCCCGAAGGGAGAAGGGTCAATCGTTAGCGTCCGAAAAGACGCCGAAATGGAAGGCATTTCCACTTTCTGAAGTGAAACTGAGGGTGGCATCCACTGTTGCTTCATTCATTCTGTCACGTTTTAGCGCCCCTGGTGAATTTACGCCCTGTGCAGGGGTACATGTGGCACATGCCTAAGGCCGGCCCTGCACTTACCCCAGGCAACTCTACCGCGAGCCTCCGACTGACTCCCACATGCTGAGTTGCCAAGAACGGGATCAATTAACTGTGCCTTCAAGGCCCGCCAGTGAAGCACCAAATCACAGGATAACGCTGATACTGGTCAAACCTTGGCATGGAGTTTTGTGATAAGCGGATCACAAAATTCATAAAGATAAAAGTCTTTACATCACATGAGAATCCACCGTACACGATAAGTCACTCTGCGAGTGTAATTGGCTGCACACCTGTGGATACCTTCCTTGCTTCTACATTTCTTGGGATCCAGTGGGGTACATGTATAAGCCTAACTAAGGCGCACGCTCTTATATCAGAGATAAAGGAAGATAAACTGACTTAATCGATGTCCTGATGTGAGCCCTTGGCCCTTTCCCTGCTTTCCGACTGGGTAAAATGAAATCAGGACTTTCACAGGTGGTTTATGAGGTTCACAATACGAAAATAATGGTCGGATCCAATCAGACCATAGATTACCTTTGCCACTCCTTCATTTTCTTAAGGTGATGGCTTCTGTCATCAATGTTCCTGTTCAAGAACTTGTCCCTAATGAATGTACGAGCATATAGCAGTGTCGCTCTTGATTCCACAGAAGGGAATTTTGATTGGAGATCAGTTGCAAGATTCTTGATTATACCCTTCTCCTTGGTGATTCCTGAGCTATGCCTTGCGGCAAAATTTGCCTCAAACTGTTTCATCAGGTTCAACCAGTCATCAGTAGGTGTACATAACCTTTGAATTTACAGCTGCTGGATCCAGGTTTTCCTCCTTTCACTGCTGTCATCTAAACTTAATATTCCCTTATTTCCCAAGGCTGTGACTCCCATGCATTCCTTCCTGCGAACAATATATCCTGATGACATGGCCTAGGTCTACATATTAACCGCTGATAATTCACGTATGTGATCCTGCATAGCAATGAGCACGAATCACTCAACTGGACCTTCTCGGAAAGTCACCTTGTCATACCTGTCACTCCCACTCGACTTCCACGGTGACGTAGTCCGCAGAGCCGCGAAAAACTCGTCCACCACTGCGCTTCGAGTTGAGACTACCTTGTATTCTATCTACCTTGAGAAGGACGGCGTCTGATGGAAAGGGAGGTGCCTGATTGAGGCATCGTCCTTATCGTACGTTTATCTCACTTGAATATGGTGAGAAAGCCCCCCAAAATTATACCACTGACTAGGGCAGACTCTGGACTACAAATCTTGTTAAGGCAGAATTTTTGTAAACCGAAAAGTTTGCGAGATAAAGGAGGGAGAAGCGAGGCAGCCCTCCACGGTCCATTGTCGAGTACGGGAGCACGTGGCATTGTTTCCCGAATTCAACAGCTCCTCGTCCACGGCCAATCAGCGCGCGGCTGCGTAAAATCCACTTAGAGAGCGTAGTGCACAGCTTACAAGAAACCGTACTCACATTTTGTATACACTAGGAGGAGCAAGATCAGAATCACGGCGGGCTGATGCTAACACGATGACCCTTTGTTAAGTCATGACTAGAATGTTCACGCCACGTCTCCCGACTCGCCACGAGTTTCTCTCATCGCATTGCGCGACGATCCAAAAGCTTAGTTATCGCTCGGTGATACTTTACCTTTAGTTCACGAATTGATCAAAACATTAGCAGGATCTGCGAAAACGAGTGAGAATGTTGAGTGTTGTCCCCACCGATCACTTGCAGGTTCAAGACTGCACGTTGACATCCTCAAACCCTCTTGTGCTTTGTGCATGGAATCAATCCTTGAACCATTGACCATAATTCCAGTGAGTACCTTGCTCAAAATGAGCAAAATTTGGCAATGTAAATTTACCGTGGAAAGTCAATTGAATAGAATAAAAAGTTATTCCAACTATAATTCCAAAAAAGTTCCAAATAATCATCTCTTATAATGCATGAGTCAATACCGGACATTGCTCACCCCCCCCCCAGCAAAATGTTGCTATTCTGCTCATAAATCTACGGTTGGCTGGAAAAGTGCGCGTTAAAGCAAATAAGCGAGTAATATTGCCAGGCACAAGAGGCTGAAGACTCATATAATTTGCATTCACTCTGGAGTTTCAGCTTACTCTATCTCTCATACAGCCCACCCACTTTAACCTCATCTAAGACCCAAGCAACCTCTAGCCTTGAAAACACAATTTAGATCTTATTCTAGGGTTCATGGGCATATGGAGCTGATCTGTGGCAAAATTGTTAGAGATACAAAATATCCTAATTGTACTTGAAGTTGAGATTTGTATGAGATCTGCCTGTGAATTACCAAGGAAATATGACAATTTCAAATTATTGTGCGACTTATTTCATCAAACCCGTGGATTTTCTCAAACCCACAAACGTGGACACCATGCAAAAAGGGTTAGAATATATTTTCTGGGAATAATCGGCAGTCGAAGAAGCAACACAGATTGTGTTCCTACGTGTATGCATTTCATCAAGTGTTACAGGGGAGGGGGGGATATTTGCTATTGGGAGAGGAGTGCTTTCATAAGACTGAGAAACGAGAGGAAAGGAGTGTTGAAGCTCTGGACGGACTCACGATCCACAGCTGACATTTTGTCAAGACAGATGGCTAGAGAAACAATTGTAAGAAGCAGCATGGGAAAAAGTTAAAGATGGAATCCAAACATGACGTCAGAGTCTTCCTTCCTCTATGAGACTCTTCTCTTTCATCAAATCTGTCGATAACTGATATGGAATCTCTGCTTTTAAGCTGGGCTTTCTGGTCGACAAGGCAACACCACGCCATTTCTTGTACCATCTTAATGCAGTGGGAACGATGAGGGTATCGTCCAGATGAGCTAGTGAATAACCGCCTGAAAGAAATGTATGAAAATGTCTCATTTTGATGAATCTCAAGAATGAAGTCTTGGAATCTAAATCTTTCATTGAGACGAACCTGTGACTAGACTGAGGACGATACAGGTGACGAGAGCGGATGAGAATCCAATAGGACCCAGCATGAGGTAGGACATATCGTACACGTGAGGACTGTGGGTAGTCAAATACATAGGCATCATATTTTTCCTCACAGTTCATGAAACGCTTGATTCACCGAGGGAAAAGTGACCTACTATGGAAGCTGAGTTGATGTTGAATCAGATAGAGGGAGAGAGGTGAGATTTAAGTAGAGGGCGGAAGAAGAAATATCAGAGACAAGAGTGGTATTAGGAAGGCAGCCAGCCACAGATGAGGGTAGAGGTGGCTCCGGTGGCACCCCATGCACCCTGGTTCCAATGGCGAGCCACCCCGTCGTACTCATTCCCACCAATAGTCCCATGAATGCACCCTGCACACATCGTCGAACATTAACATGGGAGACAACAGAATTTCAACTCAGGCTCGTAGTAATTTTTTTTCCTAACCTGCGATTAGCAAATTGACGTAATGAAAAAATAGTGGGTTTACACAGCCCTCACATATCATCTATAGTTTGAGTTATTTGTGATTAGACCGATGAGCAGAAAGTATGCTCTTCGAGAATTGGAACACCACTTTATGAAGCAGGCGCCTCGGATTATCAGATGTCCTTGAATGCATACCATTGTTTTGTTGTTCGGCCTCTTCTCCTGATATAATGACAAAATGGAATATAAGAGAAATTCGCCAAAAACTGAAGGATTTCCCTTACAGCTTCATCAATGTATTTCTATGGCGATCAGTATCTGCTTCTCGCCATTATCTACGTCCTGGTACTCTCCAGAAAAGGGCACTAGTTCCTGTAGGTATACTCTCCCTGAGAAACTGAGAGTAAGGTAGGAGACAATCACTACCTAGCTCAAAATGCAACTCTCAAATTTCCTAGCGTGTTTTCCTCCCTCTATTCACATTATGTGGATGTGAAAATGCAAGACTGTGGGGTAACGATTTTAACAAGCATCTACTTTAGCTAAATTCAGTCACCCAATGGCCGCGGAGGGGGAAAACCGCGTATGACCACCCTCGAAAACCTGATTCACAGGCACTCCCATACTCCCAACCGAGCAGCCTTGCCTTTCCTTGACCCCTATCCCCTTCTAAGAGCAAATTCTTTAGGAGTCTATCTTCTCACAGAGTCCCATCACTAGCTGCTTCGAATTTCACATCCTTGAGTTTCACAGCTACACTGACAGCAAAAGAAATAGGAACACCCAAAACCAGCGATGCTATAACCGCCAAATTTTGGTCATTCATTGGAGGCATCGTGGTATGAAAATGATCAAGCACTTTTTGATGCCTGGCAACCTAGCAGCGTTATATAACCATGTGATCGCACCACAGATAATACTCTGCATGGCTCACACTTTAAGTTGCCAACTTCGCACCTAGCGGTATTATACCCTTTCATATCGCATGGCCGTCACATGATTGTATCTTGCCACCGGGATGCGAGATATCGGAGAGTGATTGATCAGTTGCATAAATCAATGCCTGCAAATGCAAATCAATGCATATCAAGAAAATGCAGAACAGTCAAGTGTCTCACATATTTGTTCACGAAGGGGAGATACATAGATGCGATGAAGACGGCAGCCAGGGGACTCTGAGTCATACTGGCAAAGATCATGGCTATTGTTGTCACTCCCAATTCCATCTTGGACAGCACGAAGGACAGAGCCATTGCTATGATCCCGTATCCAAGGGCTGTAGTTCATATGAAATATTAAAAAAAAATTATTTCACCTTTAGGCCGAGTTCATACTCGAGCTGTACAGCATGCTGGATGCTGCAACTACATGCTGTACTGAAAAATCAAATGCAGCATGTCCAGTTGCTGGATTGCAATCCAATATGCATTAATAAATACGCCGTGCAGCAGCTGGATATCACATGTTGTCCGGCAAGATATTCATGCTGTACAGCATGCATATACTGTACTGCATAAACCGGACCTATCTATTAAGGATGCAGGAGAGCATGCAATACAGCAAATGCAGCGCCACATCTGCTGGATGTAGTTTGCAGTTTTACAGCCCGATAACGGACTGTTGCTGTGTACTGCATCGAGCGTCCAACATGCTGTACTGGATTGTACAGTATGAATATGAACTGTGGATTATGCATCTTCTCTTCACTACTCCCAAAACAAATACCCATTTAAAACTAACCAAGGAATTTGGTGAGGAGGACTGCCTGGAATTCGGTCAATTTCCCTCTCAATGAAGTGAGCATGATACCGTCAACATAGGTCACCGCCGCAAGGGAATTCAAACCGGATGATAGAGTGCTGTTCGACCAAAATGGATCAATACAGAGGATAAATTTAAAAAATCTGAAAAAATCAGTACGTGAGATAATCCCAAGGTGAAGCGAACCTGAGTGCTCCGCTGAATAAACAGGCTAGGAAAATGCCTGGTAGACCATGAATGTGGCCAAGCTTGTCCATGACGTAATAAGGGATGATCTGATCCTGTTTCGTGATGATTCCGGCCTTGAGTGGATCGCAATCAGCATAGTTTGCGAATACGACTAGCCCTGAGAATGCCGCCAGGATCCATAAGATGATGGACAAGGGAGCGTTCCAAAGATAGGCTCTTCACGAACAGGGAGACACCCGGGGTTGAATCTCATTGTACCTCGACGAAAATTACTGCTTGAAAAACTGAAAGCATAGACTCTTACTTGAATGCAGTCGAGAGTTTGCTGAGGCAACAATATCGTTGGGCAGCTGGTTGATTGCACCCATGAGCGACCATCCAGGAGATCCAAAAATGTACCACCAACATCCAAAACGTGTGTCGTTCGTACACGTCCAAGGAGAAGCTGCATGTAAGATGGACAAAATCATCTCGGAACATGAACCATAGTACATCTTCCGACGTATAAATATTACAGTATACTTGAAAACCCGTGACAGCTGCCTATCTCTTGAGATTCGTGACGGTCAATTCGATTCGCTTCCTTAGACATGACCTTGGCATTCAACCTACCCTGTCATCATGCAGTGGGTGCAAAGGAAGAATCGGATTCTCTTCATGTGTTCTTTTTTTTGCCATTGTCACGATCACAAAAGGCTTTTTTCTATTTTTTCGGATGGAATCAGTCTACTCCCCCTCTTCCTCTCTTCCTCATCAGTCCAAGGGAATCAGTTCATTCCCCCCTCTTCCTCACCAGTCCAAGGCCACCGTCATGGAATAACTAAGGCGAACGTGTTGAAAGAAGAGTAGAAAAGGGGTGTAGACTGAATCAGCTCACTTGAATATCTGATCACGTTGATATTGAGAGGCGATATCCCACACTTTGCCTGGTCCTCCAACTTCCATAGTTCCGTAAATGTCGATCAATAAGAGACCAGCGAGCATGAAGAGTACTTGCAGTGCATCCGTCCACACTACCCCTTTCAGGCCTCCCTTGAAAGCGGACATTAGACATAGACATGGCCACCCTGAAGATCACTGGTGGTAAGAGTAAAATACTAGGAGATATGGAGTCCAGGAAAAAATAAAAACTCACGATGGCGGTATAGATGGTACATATGCCACCTGCGACGAGAATCGCAGTCCATTCGTCGAAAGGAGTCACGGAAGCAACGGCGATAACAGGAGCATACAAGGCAACAGTCATATACAAAACTTGTTGAAGGATGAATGTCACACTCCCCAGGATTCGGACACTCTTCGTCCCGAAACGCATTTCGAAATACTGAGGGAGGGTCGAGTGCAATCGTGAGATTTTATAGAAGTATATAAAGGAATCCATTTTTTCATTTCTGCTGATGCATTAAATAGGTTTTTGTGACTACCTCAAAGACGGAATTGAGTTGAAGTTTGTGGAAGAAGGGGACGAAGATGAACATTGCGGAAAAGATCCCCAACGCCACTCCAAAGGTCGTTGCAAACCATTGGCTTCCATAAGCATACACTTCAGCTGGGTTTCCTGTAATCCCACAATAGCCCATCAAGCATCACGTATGTTTCCACGCAGTTCATGCTTCAATATTTGAATTCGTACTTTTGGAGTCTTGAACAAGCTTCGATTCTGACGACCAAGCGCAATCGGAAATATAGATGGATATGCATAAAATCCTAGCAGCTGAGTTCTCTTCACCATGGACTTTGTGAGAGTACATTTTTCTGTTTTGATGTCTCTCCCATAGGTTGCTACCTCTTTCGCCCCAGTGGAATCTCACCCTCTCATTCCGATTGACAAGAATCACAAGATGATATTTAATCTTTGACCAACGAAAGGGCAACGTTGGGGCGAAAGTGCACCCAAGGTACTCTCCACGCAGGATTTTCATGACTGATATCCATATCTGCGTCAACCCTTTAAAAGGGGAGGCAGGGTCAACTCCCAGTTTCACTATCCCTCCCTGTGTAAGATATAAACTGGCGGGGTAAGCATCCCGGTTTCTGGCCGGTCTCCATTTGTTGGCCAGTGAGGCTTAAATCCAGCATAATTAGTTAATCTGGCCGTTTTCAAGCATTCTATCAACATCTTCCCGTACGAGGACCTATTCCTAGGGTTTCCCAGTGTGTGCACAGGGTGTCCGCTTCCTATTGGGAGTCTTATCAGCGTGGCCAAAAACTGGGGTGCTTACCCTATATGCCCAAAAGAACCACTTGAACTTTTTGAACTCGTGGCTTTGATTTAGAAGGAGCAATCGCACACGGAATCGTAGCTGGTCATTCTGGAGATTGGGGATGCCAGGATAAGGAAGAAAATGAAATACAGGAACTGGGAGGATCGGATTGACCGTCTCCAGAATCTATCTATTTCGGACAAACGTAATTGATCTTTAAGAAATATATACGTCACAACCCTGTATTACGAGTATGTGGTGTTATTTTAGTAGACCATCTGCTCAGAACTGCTTCATTCGGAAGCAGTTCGTTCAGATGCCTTTCTTTTTTAGATTTATGAACTAAATTGTGCATTTCATACCATCACCATATGACAGTTTCATAAGAAAACAATGATTTCTGAATCTATGAGGGACTATAATTTCTATTCACTCAAAGCCATTTTCAGTATTCATCTTACACAGGGTGGTAAAGTGAAACTGGGAGCTAACCTTACCTCCCCTTTTGAAGGGATGAGGAAGACGTGGTTATCAATCACGAAATCAACGTTTGGAATGTCGCCCTGTGCACTCTCGCCCTCGTTTATCGAGATGCGATGAAAAGGAAAATTTAGCAACGATCTATCAATTACGCCTTGGGGGGTGAAAGTCTACGGGGGAAGTTGAAGACACCCTCCCACAGAAGCTCATGTGACGAAGAATACGTTCTATTTGTTTCTATTTCATGCATCTCACCCATAGTGAAGAAGAATGGTTCCTAATTGTCCTCTGCAACGAGGAAAAAGTAACACGGATGCCGAAGATTGACTTGTAGTGTATCCGTTCAAATCATGAGTTGAAAGAGAAAAGTAAAGAAGCCCCCCCCTCCCCCCTCCCCAGCGCCTCTTGGACGAGAGAAAAGATTGTGCAATAATGAGACAATGGAAAAGGGAGAAAAGGGGGTCAGGGGCAGTGCATCCATTCCACCATTAATTTGAGATTTAAAAAAAAATCCCAAAGAAAATGCCAAATATAGATACTTTCATAGGACTGTTGCCTTGAACATCGCATCTGGCAGAGGCCCGGCAAGGCGGGCAGCTACTCCCCTCCCCCTGGAGGTCGGTTGAGACGCTCTTGCTTTCCAGCATAACCAACTTGATTGACGCGCTCATTTTCCTCGCCCTCATTCGCCCTTCCTGAGCCATGCCATCCGAAAACTCACGATTGCAACCAAGATTCATGTCCCCGAGACGTAGCGGATTTCCGAACCACTTTTAAGTGTTCTGTTCCATTCGTTTTTAAAAACAAAACTTATCGAGAAATGTATGTTAACCGCACTCGAGTTTCAGTATGGCATTGTGAATTATTCAACGAGAGGATAAAGTGAAGCTTCTCATTAACGAGGAAAGGATCTTGGACTGGGCTTTACAGTTTCTTCGAGGTTTGGCTAATTATATGGCGGGGCAGTCACCCATAGATGTTGTTGGCTGTATGACCTTCCCGTAACATATGTAACTTTGGATCTTGAATACACCTAAAACTTACGTAATTCAAAGAAGTTGACGATTTTTTCAAAATATTTTTAGCATTTAGCATTTTATAAATGCCAAAACTCAGCAAACAAGTTTTGTTATTCGACAAAAACTTTGTGCTGAATAATGTCAATGTCTTTTGCATCATGAAAACGATCTACCCTAAAAGGGAGATAATTAGTGATTCATCCGTTGATCCGTTGACGATAAGTTACGACTCCGTCCATCACATTGCAAATATTTCGATGTTTTCTTTGCCTCTAAAACCTTTACTGTTTCATTAGCAGCGACATATTCCCGATTCATCGATGTAACGTAGCCTTATTTCCGAGAATGCGGTCTCCAAGGCACTTTTACACATCATGACAGCATTCGGGCACTCTCGCCACTTCAATTCTGCCGTCCTTGGAGGTGATATGGAATAGGTGCGAATAGCTCCTCTCACTTTTGGCTGGCACCCAGTCAAACATTTATCATTAGGCCATCGATGGCTTTTCGTCGACGCGATATGCCATCACTGGTGTATGGTTGGTTTAAGCCGGCTTATGGTCGGACATGTCCTGTTGGCCCTTCATCGGGCCAACTTTGGCTCATTGTTGGGCACATGTCCCAACCATAAGCCGACTTTTCACAGTGGTGAAAACCCCACATTAACTGCATCTACTGTATTATGCATCTTGAAGGATAAGAGTGCATCCTTTGCCACCTGTTCTCATGGTCCTCATAACTTGACTCAGGTACACTCTTATCGCCAAGAGCTGAGAATATCCCAAGCAATATCCCCTCCAGATGCCAAGGCATCCAGGCGCGGAATCGTATGGGAATGCAAGGTATCTGAATTCCTGCAGGAGTCCAGGCATGCTGAGCACGCAACAATAGTTTCTGTCTTTTTTAACCAAGAAAAAAAGGTCGCGTAGCTTATCGTGAAAAGTAGGATCATCCCACTGACCTCCTGGCCGGAATCAATAGGCGCGGTAGCGCCTATTACCTTTCTTCAACCTCTTCCCGCCGCAAAATTCAACCTCCTCGTATTCCTGTCTGAGACCATCAACAGGAACGAAATTTGGCATACTTCTTCCTCTCTCACCACAGAATCACTCCAGAAAATTTGGAGCTCCATCTCCCCGTGGTTGTGGAGAACGTTGAATCTCGTTTTTTTGGAGAATGTGAATTTCATTCCGTTTCCCCCCCCCCCCCCCTCCCTCCCTCCCTAGGTAGCCACTCCTTAGGTGGTTTCGGAGGAACGAGACCAACCATAAGAAAGATATTGACTCGCAGATGACGAAAATTGGCTTTTTTGCTGTTTGCGATGCTCCATTTCGCCATTAAAAAAATCAAATGAGCTGTCGTTCAATTAGGCTTAGAGTGCTTGCTCCGGTGTTGCCGGATACCGTATTGGCCTTCGTATTGGCGTCTGGATCTTCTGTTTTTAATGCATGCGACATTTTTGTCCTGAGTTCATGAAATGAGTTGAGAATGAAGCTGCAGGTAGCAGTTATTGATCGATGTGGAGGGATATGCAGATATCTTATCCGGACATTCCTGAATTAACAGGATGGCGCGTACTATGGATTCCATTCTTCTTGAGGGCATTCTCTCCTCAGACCTATTCGAGATGGTTCGAGGAACTCCAGATAGGCCAGCTCCAGCAAGAGCAAAGACTTCATGACTGAGACTCGGGAGTACTTTTGCTATCCTCTTGATAACCCTTACCTAGTCAAAAATATTTGTTGGTTTATCATCGGGCCATAGCTCCCACTGAAATGGTTCATGAAACGCGAAACAGGCCTCCAATAGGTCCAACGTTACACGTCCACTCTGAAATGGTTCGTGAACGTATGAATAGGCCTGCGATTGGCCTAACGTTACACGTCCTCAACCAGATGTCTCGAAGACCACGATTCATAGGTTCACAGGTTATAGGCCTAATTGGCGCTGTAAGTCGAAAATAGAGTTTATTTTGGAAAAAAAAAATGTAAGCCTTGGCGTGACCTGAAGACAGTCTGTTGGTTAGGCCCTAACGTTAGTGAGTCCCGTAGAGAGGCGTGGGGGGAGGTTGAAGAAAGGGAAAGCAATTGAAAATTGGTTTCACATTACTTCATTTCCTGGTTTATTCCAAAGCTGGGTTACATCTTCCGAGAAACGTTTCAAGGAATTCAATTGTCTTCCTCTGAGTTCTATGTGAGAAACAATAGGGAACTGTGTCAAAGGGACAGGGGACTCATTTCATAGAATCTGGGAGGTGACTCCTTACTACGATCACCTTGGCTCCATCTCACGCCGGTATTTGGAACCTTCTTAGTCACGTTAGATGCACATACGCCCAGTCAACAATTTTCGTTGGTCTATCGTTGACCTATAGCTGGCCTATAGTTGGCCGGCCAATCATCCGCCGAAGATGTGCCAACTTCCCCAGCTATGGCCCGATGATAAACCAACAAATATTTTTGACTAGGTAAGGGTTATCAAGAGGATAGCAAAAGTACTCCCGAGTCTCAGTCATGAAGTCTTTGCTCTTGCTGGAGCTGTTTACAAGAAATCAACACTTTAATATGTTCCCAATAGAAATGTGAAATTTCATTTAAATTCGTTGTGGTGAGGGAAAGTTATGAGCAATCATTCAAAAGATGTTACATACTGAAAATGGACAGGAGCGAATGCTGGTAGTCAAGCGGAGGATACACCTTCGCTCTCTGGTCGCATGGCTTCACATCGAGCACCTCTCTCACTCAAATTCATTTTTTAGTCTGGCATTTTCTTGCAGAAGGATTTTACTAGCTTTTTTTCACAGGTTATAACTGATAAATCGATGGTTATCAATACAGAGAGGTCAATTTTCAATTGTCGAAT